TGTCAGCGAAAAAAAAAAAAAAAAAAAAAAGAAAATACTATTGACTAAATAAGTCATGATGATTTTTAACATTACATCTTTAAACATAAGTCTGTTTTTTGATTCTCTAGTTTCATTAATCTATTAGTTTCTGCACTAAATCACAATTTTTTTAGCACTTACTTTTGTAATGTCTCAGTATTTGGTAGGTTTCTTTCTTTCTTCCTCTTTCTTTTTTTGGTAGATTTTTGCCACAGGGCTTGTTCGCTCATTGGAGAGAGACAGAGAAGGAAAGTGAGAAATTACTTGGCCATGCCACAATCTCTTCTCCTTCATTCTCCATTTGGGACTTTGGGCATGCACACCCAGGTATGTTTCTCAAGCTGCTGGGTTCAGGACTTGAACTGCAGAATTGGCCTGTGGGGACTAGCACCTTAACCACCATACCACCTGCTGGCCTTCATAGATGTCTTTCCTCTTTGCTCTTTTTCAAGCTTTATTCTCCCTTATACATTTTGAAATAAGTTTTTACTACCCTGACCCCAAATATGAAATTTTTACTGAAATTGCTTTGAATTACATATTAATTTGTACTACTTGTATTTCGCATTTTTTTTTGAGAGATTTTCACTGTAGGGTGCGTGCGCTCGCCAGACAGACAGAGAGAGACATAGAGACAGAAAGCGAGAAATCACCCCCCAGGGGGGATGGTCACGCCGCAATCCCTTCTCCTCCATTCTCCTCTCAGGATCTTGGGCACGCACGCACACGCGCCCGGCGTGAGTTTTAAGCCACCGGGTCCGGGACGCGAACCACGGTCGACTACGTGGGAGTCCAGCGACATAGCCATTACGCTAACTGCTGGTTCCCTTGTATTTCGCATTTTTACGTTCTTATGTCACCTTATCCATGAATATGGTATATCTCTCCCTTTATCCAGGTCTTCTTTAGGTTCTTTAATAGAGTTCTACATTTTATTCCATATGATGTAGTATTTAGTTTTTATTTTTTAAGGTTCTAAATACTTGTTAGTTTTTTGTTTTTTGGGGTTTTTTTGTTTTTGTTTTTGTTTTTTGAGAGGTTTTCGCTATAGGGTGTGTGTGCTCGCCAGACAGACAGAGAGAGACAGAGAGACAGAAAGTGAGAAATCACTCCCCAGGGGGGATGGTCATGCCGCAATCCCTTCTCCTCCATTCTCCTCTCGGGATCTTGAGCACGCACGCACACACGCCCGGTGTGAGTTTAAGCCACCGGGTCTGGGATACGAACCATGGTCAACTACGTGGGAGTCCAGTGACATAGCCATTACGCTAACTGCTGGTTCCCAGTACTTGTTAGTTTTTTATGCTATCATGAAAGGTTGTTTTATTTTATTCTTATATTTTTCTAATTGATTATTACTAGTGCAAACAAACCCTATTGGTTTTTGTATGCTTAGCACAATCTCCAGCAATCTTGTTAAACTTGTTAGTTCTAAGTCTCTTGATTTTGTCAGGCTTACTATGTAAATGTGAATATCATCTGCAAATAATAGTTTTGTCTTTACTCTGTGGCCACTTAAACCATTTCTTATTATTGGTAGTAGTAGTGGTGATGATGTTTATGATCTTAATGTGTTAGCAAGGATTTCTAACACCATATTGAATAGTGGAGGTAAAGTAACCATTTTTGTTTTGTTCCAACCTTAGAAAGAATACTTCTGGGCCAGACTGTGGTGTGGTTAAAGAGGCTGGATCCCACATGGCCAACCACATGGTTTGAGTCCCAGACCCAGTGGCTTGATAAACATAGTGAGCAAATATTCGTGTGTGTGCCCAAAATCCTGAAAGGAAGAAGAAATGGAGAAAAGATTCCTTAGGGGTGGTAGGAGGTGCTTCTCCCATCCACCCCCCAGTTTGTACACACATCTCTGGGAAATAATTTTTTTAAAGATTACATCTAAAGTTTTAGGTATAATGTTCATCAAGGTTTTTTTAAGGTAAAGAAGTTCTTTTTGGAGCCAACAGGCCGTGTGGTGATTGAGGCTGCTGGACTCTCACATGACTGACCACAGTTCATGTCTTGGACCTGGTGGCTTGCTGTCTCACTTTCACTTTCTTTGTCTCTTTCTGGTAAGTGCATGTGCCTATGGCAAAATTTTAAAAATAATAAGAATAAATATAATTAAACAGACAATTCTTTTAAAAAGAGAAGTTCCAGGGACAATAGGTGGTGTGGTAGTTGAGGAGCTGGACTCCCACATGGGTGACCGTGGTTCAAGTCCTAGACCTAGCAGCTTGCTTTCTTACTTTCTCTCTTCTCTCTCTTTCTCTCTATCTCTATGTCTGTCTGGTTATAGTTTAAAAATAATAATAATGATGAATAACATTAAATAAAATAGTTTTAACCTGGTTTTGGCTTTGTTAATTTTTTGAAATTTTATTTAATATTTATTTATTTATTTATTTATTTATTTATTTTAATATGCTGAGAGAGAAAGTGAGAAAGCAAGCTGCCAGATCTGGGACTCAAACTGTGGTCGACCATGTAGGAGCATCTGTAACCACCATGCCACCTGTTGGCCCCCAGCTTTGTTAATTTCCATTGGTATTATTTTCTTTTTTTATTTCTGTCATAATCTTTATTAGCTTCTTCATTCTCATTTCTGTAGGTTTACTTTGGGTTTTTTTGTTTGTTTTTGTTTGTTTGTTTGTTTGTTTTTGTTTTTAGTTGTCAGGGGCTGTGTGTGCTTGCCAGAGAGAGACAGAGGCAGAGAGAAAGAGGGAAAAAGCACCCCTCAACAGGGTATAGTCACAACATAATTCCTCCTCCATTTCTCCCTCCTACCAGGATTTTAGGCATGCACTCATGCATGCCTGGCATGTTTTTCAAGCTGTCAGGACCTGGATATGAACTGTGGTCAGCCATGTGGGATCTGACTCCCTTAATCACTTAGTCATGGGGCTGGCTCACTCCATTGTTTTTTATTTAATTTCTTGAGCTGTACACTTAACTTTTTGTTCTTAGTATTTTTTTATGTTCAATAAATGTAGATAAATTTTTAATTTCTCTTACACACTGCTTTAATAGGCAGTTTGACTTTGTCAGCATAGACTTTGACATTGTTACTTTGTTCTAAATAATTTATAATTTCCCTTGTCATTTTCTCTTTAGCCTAAAGATAATTTTAATTTTTCTGAGGAATATGGTACTTTTAAAAAGTTTATTTATTCCATAAGATAGTGAAAGAGAGAGATATGCAGCACCCTTAATAGGGTCTTCCTTGAACCAGGATTCAGTCCCAGGCTCCCATGTGGTCCCAGCCTGTGAAGCATAGATTCTTAGCAGTGCCTGCCACCATGGCTTAGCCTCCTTTTTATAATGTGCCTGGATTTTAAAACATTTTGTTTTCCAATTTTGCTTAAATCTATGTTTGTTTGTTTATTTTTAAGTTTCTTTCTTTTTTTCTTTCTTCATTGAGAGAGAAAGAGGGAGGTAGGGACCCCTGACAGGATCTTGCCACACCGTGTTTCTCCCCCAGCCTTTAAGCCAGCCAGGATTAGGCAGGAGTGTGTCATGGGCATGTCT